AATGGTACCAACGATTGTTATTTCATTTGTACACATTTGTAATCCTGGTATAAACATTTGTACATCTCCCCAAATGCCTCAAAAATTAATTTGTAAACAATAATAAAATTTGTATTAGAAAAAATTTCAATGTTTCACGTCTTTGTGAAATATTGCATACTTTAAACACTAAGCAAGAGTTATAAATTTTAGATTTATCAGTGTGATATTTTAACTGTAAGCTATACAATTTTCTTGTCATATATTGTAATTGTTGAGCTATCATAGTTTTATATTAGTAAAATAAAAAAAAATCTCAACTACGTTAATATCTATGAATTCTATTTCTTATCTTAAAATCTTTTAGAGCTTAGTGCTTACGGGAATTTAATTATAGTTATTCTAAAAAAAAAGCGTCTGGAGGGGATATATCTCTATAATTTTAATTGAGTTAAACAATGGGGTAGGCAACTAATGTCTCTTTTATGCGGCCCACAGTAAATTTCAAAACTAGCAAATGTCATTGAATATCATATACATTTTTTATATTGTCTGGTTCTAGAACCATTTTTAATTTGTGAATGTGGCCCAAAGGTTCATTAAGGTTTGAAACTAGTAACAGACTTGTTATTGACTGAACGTCAAAACTATTAAAATGTTTTTAAATAAAAGTCTAATAAATCTTATAAGAATTATTATTATGGAAAAACAATTTCGTTATCGCATATTTTGTGCGACAATGTCTACCCATACCATGATCTTAGAAAATTAGTCTTCTAAGACCGTAACCCATACCAACATTTTATTTTAATAAAATGTTGTTTGAACAAACGCGAACGGTACTTCGTATGATTAACATATTGTACACATCTTTTGTACTCAAATTTCCTACAATTTTTCTATTTATAAATATTCTGATGAAATCATTGTTATCAATTGGCCTATCATAACATTAAATATGTAAGCCGTTAAGGCAGAGCTAAAACTTCCGAAGCAATTCATATGATATTTTGATTTAATATAGATACTTATTAGTTATTACTGTGTCTAGTCAGATTTTCCGAAACTAGCATTTTAATTACATATATATTCATTGTTATGAATGTTCGGTACGCGCGTTTGTCGTCGTCGGAATAGTCCGTGATTTTTGTTATTTTTTTCACATTAGATATTATTTATATATTTTATACGACGCCGGGTTATTTTGATTGTATATTACAAACGTCAACGGGAATACTCGGGAATGCTTATAGTTTAGCTATAAACGGACTGAGGAAGTTTCGTTGTTATAACGTCATATATTGTACAGCAAGGTTTTCGTGTGTATACATTTTTATTGTTTGTCGAAATCAAAGTAGTGGATAAAGTTTTATAACTTTTAATATATTCATCAGGATATTTTATACACAATTTAGGTAAGTAAAAATTACTTTCATTTATAATTTTGATATTATTCTTTATCATACGATTATTTACTTTTGGGTGAGAGACATGTAATCCTGTCCTGTATATTATTATTTATATTTATTTTTAATTTGTTAAAATAATTTAGGATTAAACTCGTTTTGTATAGTCGTATAGATAATTATTTTTTCTTAAATACTTCATGATTACTTTCGTGGTAGCTTGTAAAATTCAACTCCGATATAAATGTGAATTATTATTACCAAACTAAATGTAATTTATTTGAATTTAAAATATATTTTCTTAAATACTCTCGAACTTAGATCAAGATGGGAAGGAAACCAAAGGTATCATCCTCGATAATTGATAAGGAGATTATAAAATACAAGAATGAAATCATTGATGAAAATAGCCAAAGTAAGTACACTATTTTGCAATGTATGAAACTATTTTTACTGTATAGCACTCGCGACAATAGATATATAAACTATTTCGAGGTATGCGATTCTCTCGTGGGCGGGAGTATATTTCATAGACAAGACAATGGCGTAATTATGGGGGGGGATATGGAGATATATCCCCTCCAGACGCTTTTTTTTTAGAATAACTATAATTAAATTCCCGTAAGCACTAAGCTCTAAAAGATTTTAAGATAAGAAATAGAATTCATAGATATTAACGTAGTTGAGATTTTTTTTTTATTTTACTAATATAAAACTATGATAGCTCAACAATTACAATATATGACAAGAAAATTGTATAGCTTACAGTTAAAATATCACACTGATAAATCTAAAATTTATAACTCTTGCTTAGTGTTTAAAGCATGCAATATTTCACAAAGACGTGAAACATTGAAATTTTTTCTAATACAAATTTTATTATTGTTTACAAATTAATTTTTGAGGCATTTGGGGAGATGTACAAATGTTTATACCAGGATTACAAATGTGTACAAATGAAATAACAATCGTTGGTACCATT